TAACGTTTTCTTCTCTAACTTCATAAACGTTTAATTCTATTATCTGCTAAACGAAATTCTGTGCAGTCACACTCTATCTCCACTAATCAATAATTTATCATGACAAATGCATGAAGCTCGTTACTAAATATTATGTGTACTGCACGCACATATACTGATTTAGAACTACAATCGCCCTTGATTTAGCCTATAAACTACAAACCCCTGTGTGCATTATGTCTCTACGTGAAATACGAGCAAGAAAACTACTTATTCAAAGAAAGGATTCGTTTTTGCATAATTATCATTGAATGTTGCCTGCATGGGATGAAATTATTCATAATACACAGCGTAAGAGCTCTACCCATTCTGCGATATTCACTGGAAGCAAAAATTATACGTGCGCGTAATTACGTCAAAAGACGCAAACGCACATATGTTGCTTGCTTCGCTATACGCTGTAGTAAGCTACCTCTTAAATTTCATTTTAGAACAGTTCCTCAACCGTCACTTCATTACGAGAGCAATATGAGTGGGGAGAATAGAGCGTGAATTATCGATTGTGATGACACTGTCAACACATATAGATAGGAAGTGCGTTGAATATGTTCGTGCACCAGGTTGATGCATTTCGTACAAACCGATATCTTCCGCGTGATTCTTCTCAAATATTGGAAATCAGAAGTGGGAAGCGACCTCGAGAAACAAAAACTGTCTGGAACTCACTGAATGAAGGCAAAATAGATTACATGGAAATGCTAACTAGGGTTTTAGACAGCTCGTTTCCTATTCAGCAAAAACAAATAAAAATAACACCTGCCAGAAAATTAACATACAAATCAATAAATAATGACATTCTGATAATTCAATAAATTTAGTCCGAATCATTTATAATCCTTCCAGCAGTTCTCTCATAATTTCTGGCATAAAACTCGACAAATTCTGCTATAACTGCACTAACAATTGCAAACTGAATGATCAGCTAATACAAGAAACAGGCGAATTATGAATACAAACGGTTATTAACACAACAAATAAACAATGAAATATGTAAATAGACAAGCACGCATGGATACATGCTATGTGAAGAAACGTACAATTACTTACTCCTAAGCAAGAACGGAATTAATTACTTGTTTCATTTAATGGAAAATCAAACTGATTATTCCAAAAATATTTCTTGGAAAGAACAGATGCAGTATTTTACTTTAAAACATTCATTTCTCCCCTTAATGTATCGGTACAGTCCCTCTCCTATCACGTCTCTTCCACGCAACGTATTTCAATTACGTCTTAAAAGACTATAAACAATGAGTTACCTAAATACGCTTGAAAAAAAAAAGCAATTACCACATTAATGTAAAAGCTTTAAAAGTAATTTAAAAAATAAACCAACTATATTTCGCGACACTCTAACCCCCTAGTTACTTTATTTCATACGCTATTTCCTCTATCACTGTCTTCCTGCACTCTCTTCACTTTTTGAGCAATTAATATAGTATTACGTGCTTTTCTCTTCATGAACGTTTCCACACATTTCGAAATGTTTTACTACGTGCTTAGCGGACGTTTACGTCTCTTTTTGCGTGTTCGTTACTTATAGTTGTAGGATTTTGTACTAACGTATTGTTTTCTGGACACAATTTTAGCATATTGTTTGCCATTTATAATCTTACAAAAGTTTTTTTCTTTTTTTGATATTAAAATCATAAAATGACGTGGTGACCGTCTGAAGCTCTTACTGATCTTTCCTAATTATTCGGTGCTAATTACCTGAAATAGATTTGGTCATGTCGGATTATTGGAAAATTAGACGTATGTGTAAATAATTATATTTCATACAAACATTATTCAATGCTAATTATATGAAAACATATCTTTGTCCATTAACAAATAATTTTCTTATGTATATTTCACGTGATGTTGTAATGCCTGTAAGGATGAACGTGATCGATGAGGATGCTTGTAGTGTTAAATCGATAGAACCATATGCCTGCAATGATTTCATAGTACACTTTTACATATGATATTGATTTTTAAGATAGAATGAATAATCGATTAATCAAGTATATTTGTATTAAAATAAATATTTGTAGGTGAGTATTGTTGAATAGACTACTTGATTTTTATTTTCAGAAATGTAAAGAAATTCTTTTAGTAAATGATATAACGATTGTAAATTGTGTAAAGTTGGAATAAGTAATTGTTGATGCTTTAGATTGAATGAATGATAATCGAGGAAATATATCTGTGTTAAAATTCAATTTTATATATCTATAAAATTGAACTTCCAAAAACAAAATTAGAACTCCAGAAACAAAAATTAAGCGTCCTGAAAAGAACGCTTAATTTTCGCTTTCAGAATCATAAATGATTGAATGAATGAATAAGTGATTATTGCCTTAAGGATGTCACATGGATCGTTCCTGTTTACTATTTCATGATGTTTTATTTGGATTGATGACTTCATCACTTCCAAATCACAATCTTTTTCTTCAGCTTTAATTAAGTTAATATTTAATATTTTCCGTTTTGGAAACTTCGCCATTCAACTTCTTATAATTTTTGTCTTTTTAGAAATTTTGAAAAGCAGAAAATTTTTGTTCAATTTACATAATATTAAGACATATTGTTGTGGAAAATATCATTAAATACTAATGTTGAGAACTCCAATAACCTCCAATAACCTATTTCAATTTTGATAAAAAAAAGGAAAGAGCTATGGAGAAAATTGATTAGCAATATCTGATAGTGTTACCATTTGACCATTTTGATAAGTCATGATCCTCTTCAACAATTTCTCTTTCCGGGATCGTTGACGAAACAATCTGATCTGTTGGAACCCTTAAGTTTTGTATTTAAACTCGAAAGATCAATGAATATAAATAATAAAACCTACAACAACAGTCATTCAATGAGTGAAATACATTAGCTAAAAGCATAACGATTTTCAGTTAAATTTGATCAATACACATGTATCCTAATCGATTTATGATGCTAGCAATTATAAATTATTTCATATTGGTATCGATGATTGAAATTGTTTCCTTGTATAGATTTCACATATAGTGTCAGTATCTTTTCAATCTTTGAAAATTTCCATTTTAAAGATTCTTAAAGCTTACCTTGTTTTTGTTAATTTTTCAGTCAATGATATCGATGACTGGCTAGTCATTTGAATATTAGCATCTGAAGGATAGATTTGTGTGACTTATTTGTCATAATATATGCTAATCTATCCTAAAAATTCATGAACTCTTTATTTTAATGAAAATCATTTTCGATATATGCATTTTTATGCATATCAATAATTTATTGTTAAATTTATAAAAAAATTTTAACCTGGTAGGGAATTAATAATAATTTTAGCACCATGATTTGGTTGTTTTCGAAATGATGCAAGCATTTCTTTAGTTGTTTCCGGATGATGTGCTATCTATTGTCAGAGTATATTATTTTCTACTGTAATATTTTTCTACTCAAAAATATCATATAAAAAAGCTGGAATTTAAATTTTATCTAGCAATTTGTTAACAAACACCATTTCTTCCTTATAAAAATAGTCTAAGAATGAAAATAAACTTCACAATATTAATTTACAGTTTAGGTGGACTAACAGGTAAATTGAATGCATTCATGATGTCCACAGTGCTTGCAGATTTAATGATAATTTCATTCTTTTCATTTTCATTTTCACTGTTTCCAGCACTCTTTAAACTATCACTTTCACATTGTGAAATGCTAAATGGACTTGACCAACCCTATAAATTTTCTCAGCATTTAAGTATTTATATTAATTTTTTATCCATTCCAATAAAGGAATCTTAATATTAATGATAGATATGAGTTGTAAGAAGAATTAACCATAAAAATGAGGAAAGGAAAAAAAAAAAGAAAGAAAGTTAGATTTTAGCTATTGACAATAAGAAGACCTCTGATGGATTGATTGTGGTATCGGAGTATGACATGGATAGAGTTTTTGGTTCTGTATTAAAACTCATTAATAAACAAACAGCTATGAACGAACGACCGCTTAATAGTATTTCAATTGCATAAACTGTTAAATTGTTAAGCTGTATATTTGTTTTCTAGAAAACATTTCACATTTAATGATGTAAAATGAAGGAAAAATTTTTTGAAACTTTCTTCTATGTCTTACTATTGTTGAATTATGAAAAAGTTTAAATTTAGAATATGTTTGCTAAAAATTATCTCAGATATATCTAAATATGCCGAAGTAACTAGAATATAAAATCAAAATATACCGAGCTGACCAAATGAAATGCAAACATTAAGGTATATACGATAATTGAAATGTATTTTAATGTGGGATTAGAATATTATCATAAGCGGTATTAGAATATATCGCAAGGGTCATGGCTGTATGGAATTAGAATGTATCGTTGATATTATAACGTTTTAATTTCTTTTAAACAATAAAACGATGTGGGATATGGAGGTAACAAAGTGACCTAAAGTATGGTTTCAACAGGCCAAAGCGCAATATGAACTATTTTAAAATTATGACTAATTGGAATTGGTAAAAGGGGAAGGTGACAAGAATGCTTAATAATAGTTTACTTTAGCGGAACTTGTTAATTGCACCAAAATTCCACTAATACTTCTTTTATGGATTTATTATTCTTATTATTTCTTTATGTATTTATTCCATTTAAAATGAATCTTTGCTAATCGATATATTATTTTCAGTTGAATGTTACAATTAGTAGCATTCTCATTCATCTAATATTACAACTGGTAGTATTCTCTTAAAGTTAATCAAATTTTGAAAGGAAAAAAAAATCGAATTTTGTGACAGATCTTTATAAACATTGACCTTCCGGTGAATTAATTACATATGCGCAGTTAGCAATAAACTGATATAGTAATAATGTCATCACATAGATTTTGGACATCCAGCAGTTGATGAGTATGCAAATATTAGATGTCAACTTCGCAAGGGTTACTTGGATCTTCAGCAGAACTTATGATAGACTTTTTGTTCAGGAAATGTATTTATAATGGATGACGTTGATCGTGACAAGGACGATGTGAATGGTAAGCGACCTATGATTAATGAAGAGGAATTAATTGTAGTACCTAGCAAACGATCAAAGGAAGAGGTGGAAAACCCTTCGAAAGTGGAAGTTTCGAAGCATGAAGTAAATTATTTTTAGCATTTCGGGATATTTGTATAGTAAGGATTGAATTATTACTGTTATTTTTTGAGCTATAATGTAGTTAAAGTGGCTAAATTTGCTTCATATTTCATAATGCAGTAGTATACGCTTATTAATATCAGAGAAGTTTGTTTTGCATTTAAAGAAATGAGAATATAAAGAGGATGAGTAAGAGCTTTTTATACCTATAGCGATTTATTCCGGTTTATGGTCATAACGACAAGATCTTCTTCTGTAATTACAGTATCGTTAATGTAGGTTTTAGTGAAGGAGCTATTTGTTGAAAAAATTAGTCTTCTAGATAAGCTTATTGAATATCTTATCAGTGTTTATGATATTCTTCGTACTATTTATTAGAAATCATTGTCCGGAACAGAAGTTTCCAAAGCCCGACAACGTTGGAATTTGCTTTCATATCATATACGATGCAAGTACAAAAAACAAGCCAGTGATATTGATGTGGAATCAACGTTTATGGTTTTTGAAGCATTTTCCATCCCAAAACATTCCAGCTCAGGTCGTTGGTATCACTTGAAATCTCCTGTTGGAGATGTCGAGCTTGATGTCCACATCTATTCAGTTGTTACCGTAACACCTAATATGTTGGCTGGCTTCAATAATAGTGGAAATATCAGAATATGGCCATCTGAAGAATGTTTGGCATATTATTTGTTAAAACATGAGCAACTAGTTCGAAATAAAACTGTCTTGGAACTTGGATGCGGTATGATTGGCTTAAGTGGTCTTACGTCGGCTGTGCTTGGTGCGACAGAAGTAGTTTTAACGGATGGTAATGAGAAGTCCGTAGAAAATATCCAGCAAATTATTGAAACAAATAAGCTAAATAGTCATGTAACCTGCTTTGTGCTACACTGGAACGCTGCCATATCGAAAAAACAGTTTGATGCTATTCTATGTGCTGATTGCTTATTTTTTACGGAAGAGCATAGTACTTTACTAAATTGCATCTCTAGACATTTGAAACCAGGTGGAATCGCATACGTCATGGCACCAGATAGAGGTGGTACTGTTAGAGCATTCTTGGATCTTATATATGAGGAACAAAAGCGATGGCAAAGTGTGAGCATCAATTTCCATATCGAAAATGAAGAAGACACTTACTCCAAACTGAAGATGCGGAATTGCAATGTCCATTCAGAAATTCCAATGCTTTTAACTTTAAAGAAAAAGTGATTTAATCGCATGAAAATTAATTTGTTCATAATATTAAATTTCATTTGACGAAACTGGTGAGTTTGTTTATCTATATAATATTAGTGAATCCTTTTTTAAATGTTTAATCGACTTAAATGAATAATTGCTTCACTTGATTACTCAGTTTTTTCCTTCTGCGATATACATTGCATACTTTTACTATACCAATAGTGAAAGTATGCAATCCATTAACTGGAAATCAGCATATAATTAACCATTCATTCGGTATTCAAAAGTCCAATATGATCTATTTGGCAATTTTATGTGTTTTATTATTAGTCTTCTTTACTGTATGGTTCTCCTTTCTTTATGATTTGGTTTTTTGTTCATTGTTGGATTATATAAATGTAAAACATTAAGTTAAGAATATTTATATTGAACAGTAATTCCAAACGTTTTCTTTACTTTCCATGCAAATAAATTCCATTTTTTTATAATTTGGATTATATTTCAGTTCCGTTCCATTACAGCCATATTTTTTGATCAATTTTAAATGTGAGGTCCTTTAAATTAGATGATAGAATTCAGTTGTAATTCAGTTTCATATTCATCAATTAATGGATAAATTAAATGAAGTTTAACTGGCACTATGTGAGTCTTTTCTAGATCATGAGTGAGGTGAGAAGGTCACAGTGGCGAAGTTGATTTTAAAATTCATAATTTCTGTGTCCTTTTTTAGTACCAAGAAATCATCGATGCTATCCATTATTCGTGCATGCTTATACAGGATGAGATTGTTGAAGAGTTGGAGAGAAAAGGTCAGAAAATGGAATTTGACAAAGAAGTGGTGGCGCAAGTCGCTTTTGCTATATGCGATACTCTATGTCTTACCTGGCCTAGTGAGCTTTTGCAATTTGCAAAGTAAGATTTCGTGGATTTTATACAATCTTCAAATCTCCAAATAGTCAATTGATTCAAGTATTATGAATTGTTACAGGCACGCGAAGCGTTCAGTCATTAACATGTCGGATCTGAAGCTTCTTTTCCGAAGAAATGAAAACATGGTTGATTTCTTTTTTTGAGAATCATACATTTTTTTTTTTTTTTGTAACTTCATATCGTTTGTGTAATTTTCACGATTGATGCATTTCATACAATTTCAGCTTTCTCTTATCCGAAACATTTCTGAGAGCTCATTGCTTCCTGCTAGAAAAAGGCAATCTAGGAAGGGTACAAACAAAAAGAGCAGTAAAACAATAGACAGTATTGAAGAGATGAATAGTGAGAATTCGAAAGATACGGGTACTTTGCTTTATGAAAGTAAGGATACTCTAAAGTTGACGGATTTCTGGAACCAGTAAGTTATGGTTACGTAAGCTTGCGCTGATTTTGTGCAATTTATGAATGAATAAAAATTTTAGAAAGTCTTAATTTAAATATTAAAATTTTGGGAACATTGATAACGTTAAATCATGAGTATCTCGATTCTGATTACATTATTGAGCTTTTTTAACTTAACAATATATATCCAAAGTTCGAAAAATTTTTTACTTGCCTAGGTACGGTTATCATAATGTAGAGTCAGTTAGTCAAACATTGGGATATTTACAAGATCTAAAGTTTCAATTTTTTTTTTTTCATTTTTTCAGTTTCAATTTTACAGACCTTCAACTAGTCGAGGACGATCATTATTGTCTGGGACATCTAAATATATTTCAGTAACATCGGAAGAGAAATTTCCGTTTAATTCTGAATCTTTGCAAAGCAAGCAGGTAGCTGCGAAAAAGGAAGATAAGCTATCCTGTTGCAAGCAAAAAGCAGATGTAGCTGAACCGAGAAAAACAGGTAATAGAAAGGAAAGACAAAATCAAACTAAACAATGGTTAAAGCCAACTTTTCATCTAAATGGTTTTGAATTGGTTGAAAAGCAGGAGCTGGAATCTTTAGATATTAATATTCCATGTTATTCGGGCAAAGATTTACACGTGCAAAGATCGGAAAGCGTTACTTGTTCCTGGAGTGAAAGTAGTCGAGAGAAGCGCGGAATAAATCCAAAAAAAGAGTTCGACATATCCATCGACACAACAGATCTGTGCAATGCAGTAGAAGTGGATGCAAAAAATCCAGTCGTTTCAAACTTGGAGTTAGGCAATGAAATTAAAAATTCGACTATAGCAGTTACCAGTCACAAATCCGATATACGAGCAAATGAAACTGAATGGAACAAGACGGAATCCCGAATTGGGAGTGTGCCAGACGAAAGGAGTATTGTTGCTGTTGAAACTCCTGTGTTGAGCTCGAAAAGAATAAATATGAGGCAGTTTACGGATACGTCTTTTAGATCCAGCGTTGCAGATGACTGTAAGTGTTTCATATAGACTGAAGGTATTTGCATTCATATAAATGTCTGCAATTTTGAATTATCCAAAACTTAATATCTGTGTTGTAGATCTGTTATCAGAAACTTTTGGGAAAAGAGCACTTTTCTAGATTTTGACAGTTAGAAGGAAGATAGTAGGAAAAATGTTTCTGTCAACTTTTTAAATGATTTCTTTACCATTTTTTTTTTTTTTGTGCTGATTTTTAAATATTAACTTTATATTACTTCAAAATTTCCTGGTGCAACAGAATATTTTGCTTTTTTTTTCAGGCTTTTCTTCTTTCAAATTTGAATCAGATGAAGATTCGGACCAGGGTCCTTCACTAATAGAAAATAAAGGTAAACTGATACCCAGCATACTTTTTTCTGTTCCTGTGGGGTTTTATCGATTTTAATGCCACTGGGGCACTGAATTAGAATAATTTCCAACATTGATAAACGCAAAGCAAATTTTATATATCAAGTATTGCTTTAATTCAGTTAAGATTTATCAATTTTGGATTGCTTTGTGTTTCTATAAGAGAGTCTTAACTTAATTTTTTTGCTCCATTTTTTTTTTCAGTTACAAGTGATAATGCAAAATCATCGCCAAGCAGTAGAAATAGGCAAGTCTTCGGTTTCTTATATCGAGACGTTACTCCTTTTTAAAGCTTCATTTTGTTTTTTTTTTTTTTTGAAACAATTACAATATTTCTAGGTGCATTGCTAGTAAATGTGCTTCAACAAATAATAAGGACGAACATCAAATCACTAGTAGTGGAGAAAGTGATACTGATTTGGATGCAACTGTCTTTGATTTTTAATTACGTAGTTTCGGCTATTGTCATGTTGGTATTTATAGCTATGTTTATTTATAGTTGTAGAGAATTTAAAAAAAAAAAAAGTAGAATTGAAGTATCTCTAATATATTTATTTCTGTGCTTAGGATATGTATTTTTTTGGATTTAAGAAAACAATTTTTATCCACTGGCCGATATATTTTGAATTTTTATTTGTCATGGAATTAATAAAACCTTCTCAAATCTGAAATTTCTTAATGTGTTGCCTTAAAGATTTTCAATATGTTGCTTCTCATTTATTTTTACATTATAACGGAGAAAATCAAAGAACGCCGCTCAAAATTTTCTACTTGAAATAGATATTTTCCAAGTCATAATTCGATGACTTCTCAAGAAAGCCAAGGTTCGTTCAGGGTTCGGAACTAAGCAATATTTAAATATTTCATTGAATTGTTACGATCAGTTAATCTCTGCTAACTAACAAACGAACCTGATCTGATTTATGTGGCCCTAGCGATTCTTGCTGTCCTTTTTCTTTCTTACTCTCCGTTTTTTTTTTTGTTTTTTGCTCTTTGATTCTCATCCATTGGCTTTTGTCTTGTGTTCTTTATCCGCTTTGTTCTCTTTTTTTGTCTGCTTTTTATCTTTCAGTCTATCCATTGTTCTTCGTTTTTTAACCTTTATTATCTTTTAGCTGCTGTTTCTTGCTTTCTTAATTCACTACCACATTGTATGTACATTGTGCGTTTTGTTCTTTGTCCCATACCGTTGCTTTCCCATTATTTGTTGTTCTTTATTCCCTGCTCTGTTCTTCGCGCCTTATTTTCACGTGCTTTCACTATTTCTTGCTCTTTGTTTTTCATCCTGTTTTCGTTCCCTTTCATGTTCTTTGTCTCTCGATCGTTGTTCTTCATTCCTTGCTTCTCACTTTTTCCTAGCTTTTTGTTCCTTACTCTATTCATATTGCCAATTCTTTCCTCCTTATTCTCTATTCTTTGCTTTTTTGATTATTTCTTTCAAACAGAAAGAAAGTTTTCATGTTATTACGATAACGGAATATGGAATGGCATAATGATTAAACAAATTTAATAAACCAGGTGGAATCTTAATAATAGTAATAATTTTTTTTTCCTTTGAATTCTCATTAAAAATTATTTCTATAAATCACGCAGTTCATGCATGTTACTGTTTCATATGCTGTGATTATGCATGATGTTATCCGTGAAGATATTGCAATAAGATTGTGAATAATGCATTTACTTTCCTTGCTTTGCTTTTAATTGTTAATTGTTTTAAATTTTCAAAAAACTTTTATAGGAAGTAATACAACGATTGCTCACTTAATTTTTTACATATTTTACATGATGTTTACTCAATTGAGTGAACGATTATATCTCAGTTTATTGCATATAAAATATGAAATGATTAGAATGTGATGCGATATTCTCGAAAATTATCACACATTAGGTTACGATTACACATCTAATAAAACATCAAATATCGATTTAAATGATTTATCTTCAAGTACTTTAGCATATCTGATATCAAATTACGTACGCAAATTAAATGTAAGCATCTTGTTAAGATTAAAACTGAGCATTTGATTTTGGTAAGTTTGCAAAATTAAAATAACGAACTTTGTTATGGAAATTATTCGAAGATAGAATAAGTTCATCTTCATTTGAATAATGAGAAAACAGAATAATTGTTTTTGTTTCATAACTAACGTTCTACTATCAAGTGCTTAATTTTTGCAATAATTGTTCGGTATCTAAAGTCCATAATCGTGATAATTGTATAAATTTGTGGTTCTGCTTTAGTAAAGACTTCTTATATCAGCGCTGTTTGTTATTCCGTATCCTTGTCTACAGTTTCTGTCTCTTTAAAAAAAAAGATTTTTCTGTCTTAAAAAAAAATATTCCTTTGGAGCATAAATCATACTAAATCGCTTCATTACTTACAATCGTTATCCTTTGATCATATTGCAAATGTATCCTATGCTAGCAGCATGACTAAGAGTACTTTAATACTTAAAGAAACAAATCTAACACATAGAATTCATGGTTATATTGAATCTGATTCTGAACTGATCAATATGTACATAAAAATGCAGATAAAATAGTTTATGGTATAAATTTCCGGTATCCATGTCAGAATTAACTGTTATTTGTTATTGCACTTGTGATGTCTTATAGAAATAATTGTTAAGAACTTTGCTAAAAATATTAATTTTGATGCTGGAAAGAGAAAGTTTGATTAAATTGATGCAGTAGTGATAAAACAATAATATAAACAGAACCAGTAAGAGGTAAAATGATAGTTGTTTTCATTTACCTGTTATCCTCTTTCCATTTCATCTTTCTCAATGTCTAATTTCAAAAATTTTCCACAAAGATCGAATAGTAAATTTCTCTTCTGTGGTACATCACTCCTACCTTACTCCAGTTCAGTTATTGATATGCTCTTTTGGCATGGATTGTCAGAAAACCGAAAAAATTTTTATTACACACAGTTTAGAATAATGCTAATAATTCATTACTATAAACTAATTCGTTATTCCTTTGTTATATTCCATTTTTTTGAAACAATGAATCCTTTATGTAAACCTCAAATAATAAGTGTACATCTGTCTTCATTGTAAATGTTAATCTTGTAAGCCAGCCCACTTCCTACATGCTTGAAAATCTCCTCTAATCAGTTAATAAAAAAAAGAAAGAATCGATGACAGTCTTCTCAGCCTATTACTCAATTCTAGTATCATTCATTCCTTCGCTGTCTCGATTATTCAACTATATATTGCGTCAATTCACATTTGGAAAGAAAATAAATGATATCGGGTCGATCTTGCTCACAGACAAGAAGCAAAGGTTTTGAATTTAAGATATGGATGTCACAGCTATCACCGTCTTTAAAATTAATTTTAGAAGATTGTTAAGTTTTCGTTTAATCTTATTCTGTTAGCAGTGATACGTTGCATTTCACAATAAAAATATTGACCTATTTACTTTGTGATGGATTGACAAACAATATTATTAATAAATTTTACAAATTGTTTGGAATTTTTTTCTAGAAGAATTCAAAATCCTCATGCAAAAAATTTCATCTTTTCGAATATTCAAGATTTGTATTTGTACTAAAAGTCTTTGTTTAAAAAAGAAAAAGAAAACTTTTAATAAAGTAATAAAAATGGAAAATTTTCGGTCAACAATAGCAACAAGCATATAAAAAACGTAAATTTTCAAGGGAAAATTGAATAACTACAAAAATGTTTGACAATCCTATACTTTCACATTATCTTTTTCAAAAAAATATATGGAATTATTTGAAACGATACAACAAATATCATTGATAGATGAAAACAAGTTTTGCTTGACTTTTTCAAAACTTACATCATTTTCATTTTTTGTTGCTGTGATTGACACATTTCTTGCGTCAATCATTTTCAACAATTTAAAGCAACTGCTGCTTCTTTCTTCTCTTTCTCAATTAACTTTATAATTTCGAATTAGCATCATCTATGTTATATTATGTCTATTGACCCATTTGATTGATTGGAGCATCGAATGGATTTATTCATTTTTGATTTTAGATTATATCCTATAAAGGATGTTTTTTTTTGCCACATATTATTCCTATTTTGATGCAAAATCATTGCCAAAAATTCCAAGTATGAAAAATTTGTTAATAATGATTTTTCAAATAATTTCAAAGAAAAGAAATCTTCTAAATTTTAATTTTATACCGATTTTATATCGTCATTGAAGTATTTTAAAATAAGTTTTTTTGAGAAGCAATAAAACAAAAGATAAATGATTGTTTTGGGTATTTGTAAATTATATTGTAAATTATAATTAATATTCGTCTAATCCGACTATATAATTGAATGATTAATAATAAATGGATAAAATTGAAATTGTCATCTCCCATTGTCATCTACTATCATATTTTACATCAAAAAATTAGCTTTTTTCCAGATGTTCGTTCAACTATTACAATTTATCATTATTATTTATTATATAGCAGAAGCACGCATTCCTCCTACAATCCTCTCCAAATTGAAAAACCAATATGATATGAAAGATTACCATGATAATATTCAAAAAAGTATCACAGCTTTTGTTACATTTCAAAATTATAATTGCCCGAAAAAAATTGATTCAGCTACTGAAGGTAAAGAAATCGGAAATTTTTTGCACAACAATAATATTTCTTAATTTCTATAAGTTTAAAAATGTGCAGATAATCATATCGGATTGTTGGCTAATAATTTTTTAAGAACAAAGTATGCCACAAGTTGGATAAAGTAGTTTTAGAATGGAAGAAATCATTTCACTTTTTACTTTTCTGTTAAAAAGGGATTAGTTTGTCTCGAAAAGTCCTTCTAATAAGTGAAGCAGAAGTTGATATCATCAATGTCATTTTATTGCTATCTAAAGGATTCGTATTATGCCGGTGCTACGTTGATTTATCACATTTTGATGGTATAACTTTAAACAATTTTCCAGTCATTGCCCACCAATAAAGTTTGCATTTGAATTATTCATTTCTCCGTCTCCTTCATTTAATAATTCAGTTTATTTATAGCATTTGGTAAGTTATACTTATTTTCGAATGATAAAGTATGGATTTTTAAGAATCGAAAACCCGAAATGGTAACTTATATCAGTAAGGTTAGTTTTATGCTAATAGAAAGAGGCATTACAAATTTAAACTGATAAATATGAAATATTGTTATCACTTTATAAGAAATGATCTATATAGATGTATCTTTCTGACTGATTTTCAGATATTTCGTGGTGGACCACATTATGTTAATGCATCTGTTTCGACGAAACATCAAACTTATCTCATAGCAGATCGAAATGTTTTTGCATTTTATAAAGATAAAAACACTTTCACGTAATTCCTTAAAAAACCGCTCAAAATATTCGAGAAACACGAAACATTAATGATAATATAAATTTAATCAGATTAAACGATCTCTCAAAGAGAAATTTCGTTCTTTCAGTTTAATAAAAGGATGGCCAAAAATGCTCCCAAATCGTGTCTTGTTCTTTCCACAAGCTGCATTCCCCCTTGAGAACGAAAGTGCTGTACTTGTTTCGGTAAGTTATAAATTAGAGACGTCATAATTCTCAGCTAAAAATGTGGAAGGAACAAAATAAGGTGGCACTGCCTTAATTCAATTTCGAATTTAAAAACAAATTGGAGAATTTCAACCTTCCATATAGGGAAAATTTTAATGATTATTGATTACCTATTTTTAATTTATATTTCTTTAACTTACATTTCAAAGTACTCTCAGGGAAATGTATTAGCGGCGTACGAATTGAAACACAACAAGGTAATATCAATTAATGACCTGGAAAGATGTTATCCAAATTTACCTGAAGATTTTCGAACCGGTGTACCATTTCCAACGGGACAATTTAACACATATTATTTTTTAGACTCGCATAATTTATATGAGTATAACATGAACACCAAAAGAATCATATTTTCACAACCACTTAAAAAATATCTTTTGTGCTGAAACAGATTGAAATCTCAAGAAAAAGTTTTTTAAATTGCCCTGTAACAGCATATGTCTCATCTAACTAAACAATAATCCACATATTAACCTAAAGTATGAAGATTTTTCATGTCAGATACATAAAATTTCCTTCAAATTAAAATAGACCTCTCCTCGTTAATTAAATTCAGTATTAAAGGGGTTATGTCGTTTGGTGAAAAAGTAAAATTTCGAAACTTCCCTTTTCCATGTAAATAGTTTAGTGTATTTACATAAAAACTAAAAAGTTTAGATGAGATGAGCAAATGTATTTTTGATGTGAAGAAGAGAAGTATATGTAATCATTTTATTATTCCATTATTGACGCCATAATTTCAACAATTTATCTCTTCCACCGCTAGCTACTCGAGTACCATCTGGACTCCAATCTACGGCATAAACTTCATCACCATGTCCCGGAAGATCCATACAGAGACCACGCTTATGCATGTCCCATACCTGAACAGCCAATTTGCTTTGTTACTTACTACCTATTGTCTATTGTAACGTATATAGTTTATTAGATCCGATTAACAAAGACAGTGCAACCGGAAAAGTGTAAAAATATCTCTACCCTAAACAGTAATGATACGAAATATCATTAAAAACTATTAACATTAATGAAATGTTAACCTCAATACTCGCACAGCACTTAATTTTTATTATCTTTATTTTAACCAAATATTAACCATACAGTCGACTTTTTAGCTCTCGCTCTCGATGTAAACTTCTTATGGTTGTCATAGGCATGCTTGAGGTATAAACAGTGATAAATTCCACTGGAAAGGCTTACTGTATAGTATCCATGGTAATGGGTGATATACAGGCGAAACTTATGAAATTTACACTGATGAAGTGAGTCATTAACTTACTTTCAACGTTGAATCTGCTGAACCGGAAACTAGCAATCGACTGTCAGCCGACCAGGCTATTTGATAAACTGCTTGAACATGTCCTCGTAATGTATCGAGAAAAGTTCCTGTTCGTCCACACCACAATTTGATTGATTTATCAAATGATGCCGATGCAATATATCGTGCATTTGGAGAAAACATTACCTGAAAAAAGAGCTTCTGCACTTTGAAATAGTGAGAAGATCCCTACGAACAAAAAATAAAAGTTGCGCTGAGTTGATGGTCACATATTCCTGACTTTTGAATTTTTGGTGCTAATTATAAGATAATGGACACTTTTGTCATCTGAATGAACTATTCCCTTTGCTCTTTTTTCCCATTTTTCCCATTCCTTCATCTATTCTCAATTCTCACTCCATCTTCAATTCTGCTTTTAATTCCTTTCAGATTTATTGTATTAATTTCACCTGGTTCACGAGCTGCTGATGACCAGTCATACGCATACGAGGTTTCTTTTCATCCGTTGGTTTCCAGAAAAACAACGTAAAATCATCAGATCCAGAAACTAGTAATTCACCACATGTGCTTTTAGCTTTCTCATACCGATGTAAAGCAAATTTTTGACGTGTTGGCTAGAAGAAATCAGTGAACATGATTTTTATTCAAACATCCCATTTCACTGCTCAACCATGCCAGAATGACTTGACTCAAAATTAAAGTCTAGAATATCAGTAACAGTCATCACCTTTTGTGATTTCTATTCTTTGAAATCTAAGGACAATTAACAGTCCTTAATTTAAAAACCGAATAAATAAAAAAAAGATTCCTTCTGCAATAAAAACTATTATTTATTTCAGTTTATAACTCTCTCAAATTTTATCCGTCACTGTTGCATAATACTATTTGTTTTTACCAACCATATCATCATCTAACACCGTAGATTGTTCCAGAGCATTGTAAAAGCTTGTACGTAAAGCGTATTCCACATTTAAAGCCAAAGTATTGACCCAGTGGGCATGACCAACTAAAGTTCGACACAAGATACCATCCTCTGAGCGCCATACTTTAATTGTACGGTCCTGGAATAGACTGATTTCAATAAAAAATAACTCTATTTGTTTACGATAAGATTTTATATTGATAACGAAGCAAAAATTCAAATACAAATAATCAAGAAAACTCCTTACAATCTTGTAAATCACTTCATAATAATCCCTCACTAAATATTCCTTATCTTTTTGACACTTACCTGAGAACCAGTATAAATAAGTCCTTGTCCACCCCACTTCACACATGTTACTGATGCTGTATGTCCTGTCAAACATCGAACCATTTCACATTTCATGGTATCCCAAATCCTGACTTCACCATCTTTTCCAGCACTTGCCAAATGTCTTTAAAATAATATGAATCTTAAAAAGAACAAAGTTAGGAATACATAAGGAATCAGAAACTTCTCGAAAATCAAATTCTTATTTCCTGAAAATCTGCGAAACACATATAATCACCTGCAATATGGATTTCTATGATAGGGTTCCCAGACAAGTTGATTTATCCACTGTTTGTGACAGGTCATTTTTTTGCCAATCTGCATCCCAGTTTTTGGATCCCACAAACATATCTTAACATGTTTGTATGAATACATATATATATATGTGCAGAGAGAGAAAAAAAGATAATAAACGTCAGGGATGCTAAAACTCTAGAGATTAAAGTTTATTAAAGCGTATTTCTGAAAGACATACGTGTCCATTTTTGCAAGCCGAAGCAAGCTTCTTACCATCTGGTGACCAAGCGATACATAGTACCCAATTTGTATGCCCTTTAGCAGTATGCAACGGTGTTTCTGTATTCAAATCCCAGAAGCGTACAGTTGCATCACCGGACCCACTAGCAAGCTCCCTGAAAAATCCATAGAAACTACATAATGCAGACTAAAAAACTGATGTATAAGCTATTACAGCATCTCCGAGATGGAAAAAAAATTTTCAGCAAGAACCTTCCATTTGGGCTAAACTGCACACTAATCACCGGCTCACCATGTCCAGGAAGTGAGGAGGTACATCGGGTCACTGGTCTCACACGGAATACAGCTTCTGGATAATACAGCAGTTCAATGCTCTGAAATTTCGCTAAACATTACTTTTAAAAAAATGAAATGATATTTGTTTTATTTTTTTAATCTCTATCTTAGATTTATTCAATTCTAGAGCACCTTTACTATTCATGTTCTTTAAGGAGGTAATGTTAGATAATTGAGAAACGGTTCATTCAATCAATATAAAAAAGTCATTTTTTTGAAATCTATAAGAGCTCAATACATTTGAGTAGAATCTCCTATGAAAGTTCTACAACAAGGCACCTTTTCTACGTCAATTTTTTGTTGCGGTATTGAGCTCTTCAAAGAATCTTTGATCAAAATGCCATCTCTCGTTCGAAATGTTATTGGAATTGGATCATCTGAGCTGTCCAACAGTTGATTGCACAAAACCTATAACAAAATATACATGTGATTTGATCCTTATTCCTTTTTCAAAGGCCGCAGATTAGATATGATGAATGAAAGGCTTTCAAGTTTTTTTCTGAAAAATTAAATCACCTGCAGTTGTGCGGGAGTTGTGGAGAGAGGAAGCACAATAGCAGCTTCACTGAGTTCCTGTTCATCCTCTGAGAAAATTCGCACACTGACACTGCGATCACTCTCGTCAACGGAATTATGAATTTCCATTACTGAAAAACCAACTGCTAAATCTGCAGATTTTAGTTTTCTGCTTATTTTCTTTTTGGTACTTTGATCTTCCTCTACATTCACTTCTACATATTTGTCTAGTTTATCCTTGGACAAATCAAAGAAACATTAAAATTTCGTTTGTTCAAAACCAAGCATACAATTTCATTCACAGGGTGTATAGCCATTATTTATTTAAATTTATGGAATAACAACTAGAACAAAGCAAAAGAAATGAAAAATCAATCATCCATATCATCTTCTTCTAATTTCGTTTTAGCCCATGCTTCCGCTTCTTTTACTATCTAAAATCAACAATGATCAGTACAAACTACATATGGGATATACAATGAATAACTTTTCTATTCCGGCTTAAATAAGCTGACACATTATAAGTGATAATGACAAAATTAAAAAATCGGATTATTAAACAGTGGTAAAGATTTTTATTCAGCAACAATCAACTAAATTAAAAGTTACAAAATATAGCCTTTTGCATGCAACTGCTTAAACTTAGAAAAAATAATTAGAGAAGTTAATGACAAAAAAATTTTTATCGTAAATGTTTGGCAAAACAAAACCAACATCTTTCGGAACAATCTCATGTTTTCCACCAGTAATTTCGCCTACCCAACCCATTTCCACCTGTAAATTCTTGTCTTTTGCTTCATCTCGCACCATCAAAATTATTCGTGCTGCTTCTGAAACAGAAGATTACTCCATCAAGTTCTACGAACTTTGTCAAAATAAGTAGATCTAAATTTGATGAAGAAATTCAATAAAAAACTGTATATACCATTAACCAACTGCTGCATCGGAATATCTTCAAATTTCAGCTTCTCGATTTCTGTTTTAGCTGCCTGACGATGCTTACCAATTGCCCATGCTTTGTACTCATAACACAGACCTGAAGGCTCCAACAAGAATAACTGAGAACCATTCTGAAAAATTCAACTTTTTACTATTTTGCATTAAATTTTAATTGCTCACATAATTGTTAATAGTTCACTTTAAATTACTGGCAATTCACTTTTTCCCAGTAATTTTTAGCAGTACTGAGTTTTGCGTAACAGCATGAAGAACACTCGCATTTTTCAATTGAAAAATGAAACACCTGCCTTTTTATCCCAAGCAGTCAAGAATATTGAAGCCCCAAAGGGCCTACTAATACCAAGCGTATATACATGAACATATTCGGCTAACTGAAAATCCGTTTAGATTACATAAAAATGAAAGCAATTTCATAAGAATACTACTGAACATAAGTTTACTGAAAAGAATATAAAATGAGGAAAGGATAAAATTTCTGCGTTTGTTTAGCGTATTTCAACCCATAAAGTAAATTTTTAATTCCACAAAATAAATTTAACAGAAAACAATAAAAATAGTATGTTCAGTGGACAAGCTATTTGCATACTACGAGTAACTTGAAAAGCTTTCTGACAACGTATCAAATAATATCCAAAATTTAGAATATAAATATCTACAGGGGCAAAATGGATCTTAATGTTTTTCAATTTAAATTATCTTTATAAATATGTTTCAGCAATGCTGTACTTTGTAAAAATAAAAAGAATAAATCTACCTGATTTGCAAGCTTTTTGATAGGAATTGGTGCTCGATATTCTTTCAGGTAATTGAGTGCCTCACTTACTGCATAATCTAAAAGTGCTCTACAATCTGGATATATGCCTGCCATCGCACAGCCGATATATTCGCCTGCATTTGCCATTCTTGGGTTCGCATTCTAAAATAACGTTAAGGTTTGCTGCTAACCAAAATAGAAATTATATCCACTTGCACAAAGTCATTAAAAAAATTTTGTGGCGAGAAAAAAATTCTGATTGTAACGCACGAAAGTGCGTTACAGTAGTAATGGCAGGATATTCTTTGACTTACACTTCTTTGACTTTTGACTTAATATCATACATGGAACTACCATAGTAAAAATTTAGGTTTGGTGTTTTTTTTCTAGAGTGCCAATAAGCTGCTGTCTAGTGCCACTAAGAGTGATAACAAAATAATTTGAATGAATTGAATAATACTTCTACATGAGCGATAACTGAGTGAAAAGAATAATACTTCTACATATAATTTCGAGGTAATTAGCTTATCAACTGCTGTAACGACGCCATCTTTTCCTCGTATAGCGATCATGGTACCACCATTATCAACAGCTTTTTGGGCATATTCAACTGAAAAAAAAAAAAAAAAAAACTGATTAAGGAAAAACACACTTAAACAAAGAAAAGAGAGAAAAAAGTCAAATCTTCAATAGGTATTCTAGATTTCAATCACGAAACCCAATATCAACAGATCTGAGGTAAAGTTAAATGCTGGTACGATAATTCAGTTAATTTTTCCTGAAAAAATTATTATTGCAATAAATTACAGTTATTTCAAATAGAATTAATTCATTACGACCAAACGACTATCATCAGCAAAATTATCTAGTTCCAGTTAAAACATTATGGTTACCAAAAACGATTAATTTATTTCGATAATTCATTATGATTATTTCTATTCAAACTGTCACCATCTTTTTTCATTTTAATGTGATAATTAATTTAACACTATGATACTAAAAATGGAAAAATGGTGATATAGAAAATGATGTACCCTGGAAAATACGTCCATCCGGTGAGAATGTTGCAGCAGCGAGATCGTATCCAGTGCCAATCGAACTCATCTGTAAGAATATCTTATATACTAAAAATATTATTACTCACCATTTTCTACATGACTAACTAATAAAACACGCCACCCATTAATTCATCTCACGTACGTCTATTCATTAAGCGTACGTTGGAATATTGCACCATCACTAGGCAGAATAGCTTCTCAGAGTGTCAGAATTTAACAGTTATCCCATTGTGCAACATCTTACGTAGCTCTTTGTTACTTGTACTGTGTATTTGTTTTCTTAGATACACTTTATTTTGTTTACTTAATGGTTTATTCATTTATTCGTCTGCTTTTTTACGCCCATTTGCCTTTTTATCCTATTTCTTTTTCCATAACATGCTTTCATTATACGTATTTATTAGATATTTTCAAATTATTACATTCGTGTTATGCATTTCATTCATTTGCCTAAGTTAATTATAACTTAATTACTTTTTTTTTCATGTTTGCATACTCACTTACCTATCCTTTATTAGATAAATATTTCGGGGGATTTTTTTTTGAAAAAATAAATTTTGTGAAACTTCGTACTACCATTAATTTGTTTTTCAATTTGAATAACTACTAAAATTTGTTTTCTTTCTAAACAAGTCCTAGCTGAAAACTAAATTTAATTTGAAAAATTTGAAGTTTCATTGGATTTCAGAATCTCTGAATGTAATGAGAAAGATGTAAAACCAATAGCAATAAAATGCAAGACTGGTGAAGATATACGAAACTTACAATGGGTGATCTTGTACGTGATGCGTTACGTGCCGTAAGTATTTATTTTGCATCACTGGTCGACCATTTCCCAATTTTATAGTCTTAAGATTTTGAGATTCAGCTCTCAAAACTGTCACATGTATTGAAATTGTTATTAGATGTCATTTCATAGTTTTTTTCTGACATTTCTGATATATTTCATCAACAATTTATTAGCGCTTTATTGATTAGAACGCATTAAATGGCAAAGACTGCAAATATAATACTGTTTGTATTGTTGCCATGTTAAATAATATTACAATTTCTTTTAGTGTAAATTGTTACAGACGGGTATCGATGAGGAAGTGGAACAACTAATTGCGAATGCCATAGTTCAAAGTTTGAGTGAGAATCGTTCAAAAAATGCAATTAGTCAACCATCAACGGAACGGAAACTAAGGGACAAAGCCAATGTTAGAAATATTTAAGTCAGTAGGATTAAATGTGGTGTGAAATATGTTCGGAGAATTCCTGCTTATTCAACTGTTTTTTGCTAAATATTATAGATATTTTTAGTTGGCTTTCACCTTTTCTCATAATTTCAGCGGCCAAACTTAGCCAGAGTTCGAGTCATAGCCGAACATTTGTGGAGGCGCTTGGAACAGATCTATGACGTCAAATTACAAACTTGGAAACGGAATGAGGAAAAAGTAATGGAAGAAATGATAATGAGGCTTCGACATGAATACAGAGAAAGTCTTTTATTAAAGCAAAAACAAGTTTGTTTATTTTCTTATATATATGAAGTTTGTTCGTATGTATACAAAAGCATTCGTTGATATTGTTTTAAAAAAAAGTAAAATTCTTTTACTTAAATTGATGATCTTTGCGTGAAGAATAAAAAATGCTGCTTCAAATGGTGAGACTTTTAGTTGGATGAATTGGCAGGGCGTAAAGATATTGAATATAAGAATAAAGAAGATTTCCTACGGGAGGATATTCGAGTGACTTTTGAGGTATTCAACTTTTTATCTTTTTTTGCAATTAAACACTTATAAGTTCCAGTCAGTAATATTTCTTATTTTCTGAACAAAAAACTGGAATGTGAAAGAGCTTGGCGGGAGATCGAAATGGCGCAGAAAGAGTTACGATTTCAAAGGGAGTTATTGGAGAATGCTCGAGCGAATTTTCAATCGTAAGTTTGTGATCATTATTGTAGCTTGCCTAATAGTTAAAGAAAGAAGCTATGAATGTGGAAATTGCATATTGCGGAATTAATAAATTATTATAAAGTAAGCATTTTTTTTTCTTTTTCTATAGTTTGAGAGTCGGACATCGCAGAAAAGTTTAGAAAGGAATTTGTGGTTTAAAATAATATAATTCAGGAAGAAAGACAGCGAACTGTGTCTTATAGAAAAAGAAAGATGTTCACTGGAGCAAATTAAGGATGGTCTAAAGATTCATGAAAAGAATCTTGATCAAAGACTGCAGGAAGCGATTAGAAAAGCACGCGAAAAGGATAGGACTCGAATAATGCAAATGGTATATTTGTTTCATTTTTACAATTCATGTTATCACATTAATTTTGAAGAATGTTAGTGCTGGAAAGGACTTTAGATTTCTGAATGGAATAAAAAAGAAGCGATATTGTCGAAGAAATATGAACTAGTTTGGGATAAAATATGTGAAATTTCCAATGGACAAGAATTTTCTGCCAAGGAAGCAGCATGCTTTAAAAAATTGCAAGTATGTCTTTTATTTAAATGTGCAAAACCTTTCAACGTTTAATACTGTACTTTTGAAATACCTTTTTCGTAGAATTCTTTGCTGGATTTTTGTGTTCGGGCAAAACGAGGACAGTAAGCAAGAATAGAAGGGTCACAATAATCTAGAAACTAAAACCTATAATTGTGGATCATTTTCAGAAGAAATTTTTTGCAGGAAAAAGTAATCCAACAACAGAAGAAACTCACAGAAACTAACGAAGCTTTACATGATGCTTTAAATATGCAACAAAAGACTAATGAAGATTTGGAAAATGTTAAAAAAGAGAAGGAGAAGTTATCTGAAACGGTTCTTTAATACAAGCTTCATTCATATATTGAGTTCTCCATATGCAGTCGAAAGTTGTGTGACATTATTGAGTAAGAAATCACGGAATAAATTAATCTCGTCTAAATATTGATATTTCAACATCTTAAAGGATAACTTATTCTCTTTAGACCCTGGGATGATTTCACTACATATATATCGTTTATCATAATATACTGTTTTTCGTAGAAATCAGTTCATTAAGTCGATGTTAATTTAAATATGAACTACAAGCATAGAAACATTTTTTCCAGTGTTATTTAATTATTTTATTTAATCATAATATCACTTTAAATCATTTCTCTTTGCAGATATTGAAAATAAATTTTAGAAATAAATTTATGCATGTTTCACGTATTATTTGCTTCAAATTTCAGAATCGAAAATTGATGGAAAAATTAGAAAGACGAAATGCAACAATTAACAGTTTAAAAAAACAATTAAAGTTACTGGAAGAATCGGCTGCCTTACGTATCAGTGAACTGAAGTTTCAACATAAGTTAGCTGTAAGCAATTATGCATATGCTTCTTAAATTATGCTTGTTTTTTGAATATTTTAGGACTTTTCCGATAGGAAAAAGTTGGATAGAAACAATTCATTTGTCTCTATTGTGTGTCTGTGCTTCCTAAGCTGTTACTAACTGTGGTTTAAAAAGATGATTAAACATAACCAATTTACGACATTTAGCTGATAATTTGGAAGATTTGACTTAGTCGGTTCAGGAATTTTGGAGAACTATGGGATCTTTTTAGGTAGACAAACTGCAAGCGCTCAGTAAACAACTGGATAAGTACCGCTTTAGTACATTCAAGAAATTTGATCGACCCAGTTCTCATCCTTCTACACCAGTATCAGCAAGGTTTTTTAGTTTAAATTCATTTCATAAAATAGACCGAATTCCAGTTAATCGTTATATCAATTTCTGTTTCAGGATGACAACGATCGATTCTATGTCTTCATCAACTCCTACGGAGTCATCATTTGAGCAGCACTTCCGTGATAGAATGAAAGTTTTGGATTGTACGAAGCAGGTAGGATTATTTACAAGTTAGAAATAATTTAAAATTCCAGGAAGGAGGACATTTGTTCTTGTAAAATTTAAGGAGCTGGACTTTGCACTGAATAAACTGCGTATAAGAAGCCAATCTCACCCTTTGGATCACATTCAGTCTATTTCTTTATCACATGCTGAAACCAATGAGCTTGAAAAGCCACTGTCCAGGAATTCATCAAATCATGAGGTTAAGATGCATGAGGTTTCTTTTAAAATTTCATGGAGCGTTTTCTCTTATTCTATATTTTATGCTATTCTCACATGTTTTTAAAGATTATAACTTTTAAGTCTATCGAATTACAGTTACTTCAAAGGGATCCTTCAGTTATCAAGACTAATTCTGCTGATGAAAAAATGGAAATGGAACAACATTTCGTGGTGCATTCAAGTCCGGAAAATATTGAGGTCGCAAAATATTTGACCTTTAATGGAATTTTCCAACACTTATTTCAGTACCTTTCCGATTACTTTTTGCGTGATTCAGAATACGGAAGGTGTGACAAGTAATTCACCGGGAGAGCATACAGTTGATCCGCTCATGGTTCGGTATATGAAAATAATTCAAAGTCAAAGGGAAAAAGTGGAGCCGCTTCTTCAACAAACATCAAAGGAAGATGTAATAATTTGAAATTTGGGAAAAAGTTCTAAAAATTAAAACCTATAAGACTTTCGTTTTTTAACAAAAAGACAATTGTTATGCGAACGAAATATTAAAGAGAATCGGTAGTTAGTGCAGAATAAAAAGCAAAAATTTTTTTAGACTCAACTATCGGAAGAGTTGTTTGTTATTGAAACAGGTGAAAGACTCAATACATCCAGTACACCAAGTGATTTCGGATGGTAAATCAAATTACCAAAAAAAAAAATGTATATATGCACAGACTCTTTGTGATCTTCTAGCCATTTTTTCTCTTGTCCCTTTTAGTAATTTTAACATTTCTAAAATATGTGTTTCGAACTTATCATTTTGTTATAAGATTTAAAAATTTGTATAGTTGAATATTTTATTACCTCACTGTTCTGGTAATGTAGATGTAATCAAAGAGTAAAATGATTATAATTTGGCTGGAGCCTCTAAAACCTTATCAAAAATGACAGAAACAAGATTCTTCATTATTTGCTGCTCCTAACGAGATAATTTTCTGGTATAGTGAGACTTTTAATCCCAAAAGCA